ATAGTTCGGTCAACGAATGTGGTTTATCCTGACTATGATTTTTATAAGCGCATATTGCAAATTTTCATTAAAATTGCTACAATCTATGTCAAAATACCTTGGTAATTGTGTGTTGTGTCTTTATTGTGCTAATTAAGGTGCCTTGGTATTTTGAGACATTTTACGTACGAAAATTGTCACATTGCTACATTTTGAACAAAAGAGAAAAGAGCACGTGTGAATTGATTGCTAAATAGGTTATCTATTGTCTGACTACGATTTGAGAATCAGTTGAGTAGAGAAAGAGAGCGATGCCAACTGTCTGCCTGGTAAAAGGAGGCTGAATTGGCTAAGACCTAAGTCTCAATCTCTGTCAAAGCCATCTTTCCCGTTGATTAAGAATTAGCATCTATAGGATTGGATGGTGGGGATTTAATTCGCCAACTATAAATGGAAAGTGTCACCTTCTAGAAGGTAGGCCAATGCCTATAAATAGGACCTAAATCGAGACTCATTTATCAAGATTTTACAATTTGAAACTCGTATATTTTTTTTAGAAGAGCTCAATCTGTAAGGAGCTCTGAACGCTAGAAGCGGGTGACTAGCAACACTCTAATAAGAGTCGCTTGGTCCCGCCACCCATCTTATTTAAATTATACATTTAGATAACTTTACACACTTTATAGTATACCACAAATATTAAATTTGTAACTCAAATTGTAATGTTTCATTCTTAGTGTAATTGCACTTTCACCCTTGGATGGCATGAACTTGAAATTAGTTTTAACAAAGTGTCTCAAGATAATAGGGCTAGAAAAAAAAAAAGATAAGTCACTTAACTAAATCTAGTTAGATGAATATGAATGGAAATCACACTGATAGGTAGATTCAAGCTGCTCGCGAAAGCTCTTCACACGCAATTTGACTTATGTAATGAAAAAGTAGGTAGCAACTTAAGCAATTGTTTATCATTCGTGAGTGTCAATAAAAGTGGCTCGTATGGAAGTGAAATATGAATCTAAAAATATATCATCAACTCAATAATCAATAATTATGTTAGCATTCCAGAGTACCTGCAGACTGAATCAACCCTAGATCACGAGACATATTAATACGCATATATCTTTTGTGTTCACTTTCACCCAACACTCTAACGCATGCATGAAGTACATACATATATCACATTCACTCTCACCCATTTGGCGGACACATTTTTCCCTTCTCCATACGTATTAGTTCAAATTTTTTTAGAGGATAGAGGAGAAGGGAGGGGAGGAGAATCCATTTCTTGTAATTTTTTTTCCCCTCCAATTTGGGGGAATTTGGAGAAGATGGATTTTATCAAAATTTTCTTTTATTTAATTACATATTTTATTAGAAATTTTATAACATCTTTCAAAATTTTAATATTTATTTATTTTATTTTTAATTACTTCAAATAAATATTAATATATATTAAAATTATATTATATTTCGAAATAGTTTTAATTAATTTTTTTAATCAAGTTTAATTATAATAATTTTTTAATGAATTACAAATTAGCATATAATTCTATCTATAATACTAATATTTTACTTCTTTTGTCCCATGTAATATGAGCATATTATTGTAGATATGGAAATTCAGATAAAATATAATTAGTAAGTAATTAAGAAGTGTACTAATAAAAATAATTATTGTATAGTAAAAATAATTATAGAATATAATTAAGATAACTAAATAGTTTAATTAATATTAAAAATTATAAATTATAAAATATAAAATATTTTTATAATATACTTAGTTTATATAATTTTTGTTATAGTGTTATTATTTATACGTAAAACTATTGTTTATCTTTATTGGTAAATTTAATAAATAACTAATGTATAAAGTATTTGATCCAAGGCGTAATAATGTAATTATTGTTTTTATTATATTAGACAAATAAATTTTGTATGACATTTTATAAATAGATTAATCAAATTTTATTAAATAGTTTTATTTTTCTTTATTTATATAACACAGAGGTAAAACAGTAAAATTATTATATTTTTCCTTTCCTCCCCTGCTTAACTAGACACAAAAATACTATTTTCTCTGGCCTCGCCTCCCTTTACTTTCATATTAACCAAACACACTATTACAATTTTAATATTCTTTCCTCTCCCTTTGTCTCCCATCCCTTCTATTAAAATCCATATCCTCCCCTCCCCTCATTTGAACCAAACAGACCCTAAAAATACCTTTTGTATTCTCCTTGAAGAAGAAATATCTTTGTTACGTACGAATTTTATAATTAGGTTAAAGGCCCAAGATATAGGGAAATTTGGGCCTGTAATCGAGTACGTTTGGTGGTTAAGGGATTTTCGGGGTGATTGGTTAGACCGGCTGTCCTCCCGAGCGGATAAGCAGGTCGGAAGGTCCGCGGTCGGATAGGCAGGTCGGAAAGTCCGCGGTCGGACAGGCAGGTCGGTTGGTCCGCAGTCGGATAAGCAAGTCGAAAGGTCCGCGGTCGGACAGGCAGTTCGGTTGGTCTGCAATCGGATAAGCAGGTCGGTTGGTCCGCAGTTGGATAAGCGGGTCGGAAGGTCCACGGTCGGATAAGCAAGTCGGAAGGTCCGCGGTCGGACGGGCAGGTCGGTTGGTCCGCAGTCGGATAAGCAGGTCGGAAGGTCCGCGGTCGGACAGACAGGTCGGTTGGTCCGCAGTCGGATAAGCAGGTCGGTTGGTCCGCAGTCGGATAAGCAGGTCGGTTGGTCCGCAGTCGGATAAGCAGGTCGGAAGGTCTGCGGTCGGACAGGCAGGTCGGTTGGTCCGTAGTCGGATAAGCAGGTCGGATGGTCCGCAGTTGGATGAGCAAGTCGGTTGCTGTGGAGGTCGGCTGCTGCGGAGATCGAGTGAGTGAACAGTAGTTCAGTCGCTCGTTTGGGGCGACCATTGAATCGTCTGGAGAGATTAGATGTTGGTCGCTTGATGGGGCGACCAATAAGTCGTTTGGTCTAACGACCAGTTAGTCTCTGGAACGGTTGGTCGGGCCAGTTGAGTTCTGGAACTGGTAGAAGCGTTTGGCGAGACGGTTTAAAACACGTGTCAACAAAAGAGGAATTAGTAGACGGTTGAGAGTAGGTGTTGTAACCGTTCGGGCGATGGTTCCAGGTATCGTTTCTGAGGAATATTTAAGGATTGGGGTCAGCAACTGGCAGGGCATCTTCAATCATCTTCAATCGACATCAAAGTCAGTAATTCGGGGATCATCCTTTAATTTTCAGTCTGTAGCATTTATTTTCCAATTTACTTATGTACCGTAAAGTGTTTAGAGATTCCTAATCTCATGCACTAATTATATCAAATTCGGAGATAATTTCTTATTTTCGGATTTTACTTTTGTATTGTTGAAAAATTGCATCAACAAATTGGCGACCATAGTGGGAGTAAGGCAAGATTGCTGATCCTACATCAACAGAGAATTTCATACGACTGAGGTCCGGCCGAATCATCAAAAAGATCAATATGATAGGCTCACAACCTCAATCATCTTCAACACCGGTGGGAGAAAATATTTCACCACCTGTCATGCCAAATCTAGGGGAGGTCCCCCAACCACCCGCCGATTTGGTGTATTATGTTCAAAAATTGAACAATCAACAAACTTTGGCTATGCAGAATATGTTGCGCGAGCAACAGAATCTCATGCAGAACATGTTAGATCAAGCTTTATCAAGGATTACTATTCAACCCACTCAAACACCACCAGGAATATCACCATCAAGAATACAAGCAATTTCGCAGGGCCATCACACGTTGACAGTACATTGCCAAGCGCCGCAACGTTCAACCGAACAGATAGGGGAAAGACTCCTCTAACTTTCCCTAATAATGTTCCTTTGGGATCAAGATTTGAAAATGTACAGCCAAACACTGTAAGGGAAGAGAGGCAAGGAGCACATGTGCAGGATCCCATTCTTATCCCTGATCATCAATACCTCGTTTGGATCCTGAAGAGATTGCGTAAGTGTTGAGGGTTCATTTCGGTTTGAATCCTCAGATGGCCAACCATCCTGCTTATCAAAGACCTTTTCCTGAAAGGATCATTAGCGACTATCCGCTTCCAAGGAATTATCGACCACCTGATTTTCATGCTTTTTTAGAGGAATACGGATCCTCCACCATAGAGCATGTGGGTCGTTTCACAGCACAGTTAGAGGAAGTTGGAAATAATCATTTTTATAAACTGCAACTATTTGGATTGTCTCTTACCAGAACAACTTTTTCATGGTTTGTAAATCTGCCACCTAGGCAAATACAAACTTGGGAAGGTTTGGAAATGGCGTTCTATGCTAGATTCTTCAATCCTTTACCAACTTTTTCTCTTACCGATTTGTTGGAATTGAAACAATATCCAGAAGAGTCAGCCTCACAGTTTATTGAAAGGGTGCAATTGATGAAAGGACGTTGTCCTACTATAATCAATGAAAAGGAAATGACCAATTTAGTGGTCAGAAATATGCATGGCCGCCTAAGAGAGGCACTCACTGCTCATGATGTAGAAGATTTGGCAAGTCTCGCTGCCAAGGCTGGACGTTTAGAGTCTCTTTTCAAAGAAAATGATCAGAATTTCAGGCGTAATAAAGTTCAACATATGGCGAGTATGGAAACAGAAGCATACGACTTTAATTTTGATCAGACAGAAGAAATGGCAGCCGAAATCATTTCAGGAAAGCCTTATGTGTGCTCCAAATTAAAGCCAATGCCAGAAACTGAAGGAAGAGAGCAACCCACATTTGACAATTCAAATGCTGATGAAATTTTTGAGATTTTGCTAACTGATGGCCAGATCCGAATTCCAAAAGGGCAAAGGTTGGCTACTAAGAAAAAAATCAAAGGAAGGCCATATTGTAAGTGGCATAACTCCTTCACACATAATACAAGTCAATGCACTCATTTTCGAAATGAGATCCAAAAGGCCATTAAGGCAGATCGGCTGAAATATATCACTTTGGGTGTAGAGCAACAACCTTTTCCAAAAGTAACCACAGCAATGGTTAATATACAAGCAAGTCCCAGATCGGGGAAAGAAAACCCATCAAGCAGTGGCCGACCAGAAGAAAAACTCAAGGTTTATGAAAAACTAATGGCTAAAAAATGGGATAATCAAGATGGTTCTTTTAATGTGGAATTAAAGGAACAAGTATTGGTCCGGGACCACCCGACTAGAAGGACCGGGTTGGTCAGGAGCAAGTGGGCTCGAAATAAAAAACCTTTACCAGTTGATGTGGATCCTCGTTTTCCGGGTATGAATCGTACTCAAATTCGTAATGCCAAACGCAGGTATGCTGCGAGGTACAGGAATAAGGTCTCCTCATCAAAGCAGCCGAATGATATGCGAGGCGTTGGTGATTATCCAGATGGAGGTTGGTCCATAAGGGTCGCCTCATCAAAACAACCGAATGATATGCGAGGCGCTGTTGATTATCCGGAGGAAGGTCTGTCCATAAGGGTCGTCTCATTAAAGCAGCCGACTGATGTGCCAGGTGCTGCTGATTATCCGATAGCAACTGATTATTTCACCAAATGGGTAGAGGCAGTCCTTTTGAAGAATGTGACACAGAAAGAAGTGATTGAATTCCTACTTAATTACATTATTTATCGGTTTGGGATTCCTCACACTCTTACGACCGATCAGGGTTTAATGTTTACCGGAAAAAAATTCATTGAGTTTTTTACCGAATTCAACGTCAAATTGCATCATTCTTCGCCTTACTACCCGCAGGCGAATGGATTGGCTGAAGCAGCAAATAAAATCGTCATCGGCATCATCCGGAAAATGGTTGAGGGAAATCCAAGGAAATGGCATACATTGTTGCCTCAAGCATTGTGGGCCCACCGAAATAGTAGGAATACTTCTACTGGATTTTCTCCCTACCAACTCACATTCGGGTAGGATGCTATACTTCCCGCGGAATTTGTTGTATCTTCACCCAAGGTAATTAATACAACGGTGAATAATGATGAAGCATATGTACAAGGGATGTGGTGACGGTTGGAGGAAGTGGACACTGAATGACTGAATGCTCTGGATCTAGTGGTTAGACAAAATGAGATCAGAGCTAAGTATTATGGAAAAAGAGTATCCCCTAAAGTATTTGCAGAAGGAGATTTGGTGTAGAAAACAATTCTGCCTACATATAAGAAAGTTTATTAGTTAGGCAAATGGCCTCCCAATTGGAAAGGTCCTTTCATCATTCACAAAGCAATAGGAAACAGAGCTTTTATTATTGTGAATGAGGAAGGGAAGTTGGTACATGAGAATATTAACGCCAAGTATCTGAAAAAGGTATTTTCCTGCCTTTTCAGAGTACTGTCGTTAAATTTTATTACAAGAAATCTAAAAACCCTTTGAGGGTTCAAACCCACAAGAAGCGGTTTCATTCATCATCCGAAAGGATGACACAAATATGATCGTCTTCTGGTTCAGAAACTTCATCCCAATTTGCGGAGACCAGTTTAGGTTCTTCGTCCAGGAGATCTTCTAGGTCGGGACTATAACAATCCCATTGGTCTTGCATTTCTTGAAGGTCTTGTTCAGTGCGGACTTTCATATCTTGTAAAGAATGCCTTTCTTGCTCAACAAGTACACACAATCGGGAGAGTTTTGATCTTTGTTGACAGAAAATGTTGTTCCAGCTAAGGTCAGGGAGAATGGCCATGACATGATGGTCTATCATATCCATATGATGATCAAGGTCGGATATTCGAGTGAGAATGTCAGTGAGGGGTTCATAGCTGATGGATACATGCTCCATTAGGCGAATTGTACCATTTATGATTTTCCTATCTCTGCCAGAGAACTTGAATTTAAAGTCGAGTTGCTTGAGCACCTGTATCAGGTCTTCAGCATGATGGACTGTGGGGTGTTTGCCCACAAGGAATGGTTGCAAAGAACCTTCTCAATTGGTGGCAGGGACACGAATGTGAGAAGAATCCATGAGGGGTTGTAAGTGCAAGTTTATGAGTATGGGTGACATTCGTAGTGGAGTGGTATGAATTATATATACATGTAGTATTCAGTTGCTGACTTAGTTAAGGTGCAAAAATTTACGGATCTATGTTCTGAAGAATATGATACATAGATTGAGTCTCAAGATTATGTTCATATACAAAAGCTATGGAGAAAGAAGGGCCCGAAGGGCGGCTCGAAGGTCGGCCCATTTCAGCTCCGATCGGGTTGCCCGACGACGCTGGTAAGCCTCCTGGTGTCCTCTGACGAGTCTCGTTCGGATGCTTGCCTGTAATTGATCGTAGAGACTCGTCTGCGTTTGGCGATGTTCCTCCACCAGACGACCTCTTTCCTGGATGTTGCTATCCAGGGACTCCAACTGTTGTTGAAGGCGTCTGAGCTCTTCCGTCTTCTAGGAGATCTCAGCCTCCAACATTTGTCGTGTTTGTTGGAGTTCATCGAACGTAGCCTTGGCGTGATTAAGGTCTTCGTTGACCTTCTTCAAGGATGCTTCAAGGCTAGCCGGATCAGCAGTCGGTTGAGATGACGTGGCCTCAGACGACGGAGGTCGGATCAGGGGTAATTCGGCTTGGATTTCCTTAATCCTCTCCATCATCCGATCAAGGATGGGAGTAGCTCCCAACTACATTGGATGCTGCACCAATAAGTCTATCGCAACCTGAACCAAAGCCTCAAGGTCGGCTGGACTCAAGTCGGCGAAAGACAAGTCAGCACAGCGTGCTATGATAGGTCGGGTGGGAGTCGGGAGAGTTACTTGGGCCAATACATTCATCTCTCGGGCAGCTTGGAATGAAAAGGTGTTAAGGTATAGAGGAACAAAAATGAATTTATCAAAAGATCAGATACATGATAGAAAGCTACCTGGTCGAGTACAGCTGTTGCCTCAGAAGAAGCCAGTATCCGAAACGCCAAGGGGGGGACCTCGGCCGGCCCCTGGGCCGATGGCCGATTCGTCTGCCGCTGGCAGACGATTGGCTGCGACCGGTGCCGAACCCTGAAAGAAAAGTTTTAGTTAATAGAGAAAACATAGGAAGAATTCGGAGGGTAAAAGGCAAAGGAGTACTAACCACATATTCCAGGTTTTGGTTCACTGAAGCTTCGCCCGACCTCGAGGAAGAAATCTCTTCAACCTCACGAGGTGGTGGGTTCGGTTGGACTGGTTGTGGAGCTACAAGAGGCCCCTCACCCACGGGTTGGGCGGCTGGCTGCAGCGGCAAGATGATTTGGTCGGGCACTGCCGCTACCGCTTCAGGTTCCTAATTGAGTAATGATAAACGAGTTAGAGACTTATAGAAAATAGTCATGTGGAAATATGGAAAAGAATTTTGTAGTTACCTGTGGCGTTGGAAGAACAGGTGAGGGCAAAACTGGAGGAGAAGTTTGCCTCCCCACCGGTTCCTTAGGCCGGTGGATCATCGGCGGTTCCCCCTCTACAACAATGGGGGTCGGTTGAGGAGCAACCGTCGAAGGATTTAGGTTGACCTATAGAAAAAAAGTTTTGAAGTTAGTGGTGAAATTGGATAAGTGTTTTCTTTGAGGTATTGGAAACTAATGTACCTCAACCGGCAGAGGGGTCGGTAGTGTAGTGGTCGGTTGCCCGGTGGTTAGGGGGTCTTCCGGTGGACCAACCGGTTGAACGGTTGGTTGCTCAATGGGTAGCTCATCTGGTTGAGTGGTCGGTTGAACTGTGGTCGGCTAGGTCGCGGTCGGAGCAGTAATCGGCTGAACCGTGGTCGGCTGAGGGACGGTCGGAGCAGTGGTAGGTGGTAGCAAAGGGGTCTTTGAATAGGAAATAATAAAGTGGAGAAGAGCATACATTAAAGAATGACAAACTTGAAGGGATAAGAACTTACCGAATTGCTCTCTCAAATATTTTGGCAATCCACTTGTGTCCACTGACAGGGACAATAGGTACTCCTCGACTGTCTGTCTGTCGACGGCTGGGCGGCCTTCTTTTTTTTCTTTTGAGTCCCAGACCTGCCTTCGGCAGAAGCCAGCCTCTTTCTTCTAGGAGCAGAGGCTAGTCTGGGAGAACCCAGTGCCAATGCTGGGGGCGGAATGAGTTTTCCAACCAACTGATCAGTTGGGGGAGCAATGAGAGACCAAATAGCTGACCACCTGGTCGGGAAGGCCTCAACCGCCGAAGGTTTAAGACGGAAAGGTAAGTAAGAATTGGAGGTAATGTAGACGGTGAGTTGGAAAAGATAGGGTGGTATGAGCTCAGGGATCACTAGCCCTTCCAGGCTTTGGGATATAAGGTGAGGTTGGGCGAGTGGTCCCGGCAAACCCTGACGGTAACCGAACTGTCGGGCCAAAAATTGGGGTTGGTAGTTAAAGGTATAAAAAGATCTGTAGTTTTTTTTGTCTGACCTCTTACTTGAAAATAGAGATCGGGCTTTTAAAGCAGAATCCCACGAAAAGGGATAGGTCGGATGGGAAAGAGGATCGGGGATACGGAGTGTCGAGATAAAGCCAAAAAAGGTCGGTGGTATATTGGACAAAAGTTTCATAAACATAGTAACAGGAGTTGCTACGGCCCTCGGTCAAAATTTGGGTGATGACGGGGTTAGATGGATGAAGATTAGAGGAACTAGGGGTAAATTTGGCTAAGGCAAAACCTAACGACCTCTGAGGGTTCAGACTAATAGGCAGACGACCAAAATATACATTCGGGAAGTATAGGCGAAGCCACAGCTCCAGGAACCAAAATGGTCTTGAGGCGGTTGTGTCTGCCTTTTTGGTGTCGGTTAGGCGGGTGCTCACTCGGGACAAGCCCTAAAAAAGGTTAACTAAAAATAAGGTGCCTAAGGAAAAAAATTGGCCATTGGCCAAATGAATTGCCAAGTCGACCTGAGAAGAAAGGACAAGCTTGGAGGGGGAAAGAATTATATATCTGTGGAAGAAAAAAGAAACTTAACTGAACGTCCAACTTCGAGTTTATATGGAAAAGTATAAAAGTATAAGGAAAAGAAAAATGTACCTGCATAGCCAAAAAAGGAGTAAAGCAGTGTTCCAGTTCGGAGACGGGAGTGCCTTCTTCGCCCAAAAATTTGGTGACGAAGCTTGTACAGTCTCTCTTCTTCTCGCCAAGTTTAGCAAGAGCCCAGCCCCCGTGGTCGGGCGAAGGCTCCCGACCCTTGAAAGAGACTAGAACGGGATTGTCGCCCACTATGGCTAGGTGGGCGATAATGGCCACGTCCATGAGGGTCAGGCCAATAGGACCAGAAGGGAGAAAGAAAACTCCCATCTCTGAATGCCAAAAGGCCGTCATAGCCAAGAGGGCTTTATCATGGAGGTGGAGAGGCTGGGTTGAAAGAAGGATGGCCTTGTCGATGCCCTGCCTCCTCCACTGTTCTTGAAAGTGGGGGAGCAGTCTGGAATACCACTTACGGTAAGCGTCTTTGGGGTTGGTGAGGTGAATCCTGATGCTGTCCAGGATTCTTTCCGGCTTGAAGGCAGCATCATTTTTGGCCATCGGAGACTTGTGAGATGACGAGTTTCATATGTTCGGCGTCTTCCGTGGTGGTGCAATAGGGACGAACGGTGGGAGTAAGAACCCTCGAAGCTACAAAAGGCACCGATGGGTTAGTTCCGTCAAAGGGGAAAGCGGGTAAGTATTGATTGGCCATTGCGATGCGCAGAGACAAAAGAGAAGAGGTTTGGAGGAATTTTGCTAGAGAAAGGGAAGAAGAGATTTTGGATTCTTAGTGTGTGAATATGAAAGGGTAAGAGAAGGGTTTTACATAAACCCTGTGATGTAACATAAAACAGTGTAATGATAGCACTGTAACATCTCACATAATCCGAGAAGTGACGCTTAGGTGTCGGGCGGGAGGAGGCAAGTTGTTGAGTGAGGAAAACCAATGTATAGGGTTTTCGAGAATGGGTTTGCAAATAAGACCAGGGGTTGGTTTATGGGCTGG